TTGTATGGGGAAAAACCTAGCTCACCCACTCGCGGATATCAGCGACTAGCGGAGGAGGTTCCTTCTCGACTGCAAAATAAAGAAAAGGGAAAAAAGAAGAACAATCAGATCACCGGAAGGGGACAAAGAGCAGCCATTTGAGAAAAAAATAAAAACTTACGGGCATAATTCCACTCCTCAGGAAACCCATTAGGATTTGACACCACATTCTCCATCCTCACAAAGAAGAAGTTATCCCAAAAGCGGCGATTGGTTTTATCATCCATTTTCACCACCAAGCCCTTAGTCTCGCGGTGACGAAGATGTATCATAGTACCCATAGGAAAACTGGGTACGAAGAGGTGAAGCAAGTGACATAAAGAAATCCCTCGGCCGGCCAATTTCGCGTACTTGGTAAGCATGAGGAAGAGCTTGTATATATACGGAGAGAGCTAATTCGGGCACACCCCATAATAGCGATCGAAGTCCTCTGCCAGGGAAGGAAGGGGAAGTGTGTAACCAATGACAAATAGGTACGTGTAAAACGCACAATACCCTAGGCGATGTATTTGCATGACGTCATTGCCCGCAGGTATGAGTTCGACGTAGTCAGGAATCCTCCATTTAGCCTTGAGTGTAGCGAGCGCCACATTATCCATTTCGGAAACAACGGGTTCAGGCTCACCGTCAGGAAAGTTCTTGAAATCAGTCCTGGTCTTCCCCAAATGTGGAATTATTTCATCCACAGTGGGAAAATTCTCATATTCCGCCATGACTACCCCTTCTTCATGAAAGGGTATATGAGTTTTCGACGCAACGACCCCAACGACTCTATTTGAGTTAGAGGATGCACTAGCCATCTCCTTGTTAGTTGCATAGATGAGGAGTGCTGAGGAGAAGAGGGTAATAATGACAGGAAACTTTATAGGAAGGGAGATGGAAACGCAAGAATCAGAAGAAGGAGAAGGGAAAATTTGAAGCTTTTTGAAGCATTAAGAAACTCAGTAACCCAAATTAGAAATTTTCTTCTCTATTTATAAGAACACAGGCATCCCGAGAGGGAAAATCAAATGTCGCCACATTAACTCCAGAATGGAAGAGGCACAGGTAACAACGTAACGCATCGAAAATGTCCATCATAATGATGTATGACAGTTTGACGTCATTCGAAACTGACGTAACGGTCAGGATCAGCTCTCAAATTGTCACATCATTATCTCGCCATCAAGGGTTCGCACCTCGACCAAGATGCTCAGATTTCTCAACTCGCAAACCGGTGGGGTCCGCCCATCGAGCTTGTCCGAAAATAGCCTTGACAGACGGAGGAACTAACTGTATGGGTCAAAATCTTATCAAAAGAAGTCTATTTAAGGGAGAACGGCCTGGGGTCGACCAAGCCAAAGTTACGTTTAGGAAGCAACACACCGGCAAACAGTCCAGCTATGGCTGAAGTCGAGCACTCATGAGGCTCGTACTGCTAGTTCGACACTTAGCCATTTTAAAAGATTATTCCACAGGATATTCAAAAGATGCGGGTACATTGGTTAAGGACCGATGGGTAATGAAAGTGTTTTATATAAATACTAGGAGAGAGAGTAACAAAGAGGGACAGTCTAAAGATCCAAGAAGAACACACCTTTTGGAGAGGAAAGATGGTCCATGACCTCAGACTCATCACCAAAAGGAGAAAAGAGCTTAGAATCTTGATATTCATCTATAATTCAACCTTCTCAAGAAAATACAGTTTGTCTAGCCCACAGTTGGGTGAATCGTTTCTTTGCTATTTCTCTTTTCCATTTGATATTACGTAAATTGCCATCTTTCATTATATTGTGGAGTACAAGTAGGACTATATTAGTCTTTCACGCTCAACTATAATGGTTTATACATGTTTGTGATTATCTAGAAGTGATTGTCTTTGGCTAAGATTTACCATATATCTTCTTATTAAATTTGTTTAACAAAAAGGGCCTAAAACTTTTTGGTCAAACATCGATCTCTACTCCTTATCTGGGCAAAAGGTGAAAATTATTTTGTCTCTTCTTTAGGCTGTATTAGAAGTTAAATTAGGTTTTCATATTAAATTAAATTCTCACTTCCATAAAACCTTTTGTAAAGCTACATGGACTAATTGAATCCTCAACAATGGAGAGAAGGGTAGATCTAATAGTATAAAATAATTAGGGGCGGGGTGGACCTATATTTAATTTGTAAATTAAATTATTAGGTTGTGTCAAATCGTAACAATTGGTGTTGATGGAGAAGATGAAACTTTAGTAAAGAAGCAATCATCTAAATTGAGTGATTAGTCAAAATGGAGGGGTTTTTCTTCTTAAGGCACTCCTATATAACGTCTTTCCACTTGAATGGAAGAAAATTGGGAAGGCATTGGGACCGTGGAATCTTTGAAACTCTAACATATATTATAAAATAATTCGAGTTTAAGTATTATATACTGGCAGTGCAAAGAAATTTTTACACTATCAGACCAACCAAAACATATCTATATAGGTAACCTTTCATAAAAAAAATGAGATTTACAATATTAAAAATAAAATAAGTTACTTGCTACAAAAGATAATATGAACGGATAATTAAAAAATATTTTATATGGTTATTACATATAACTTAAATCCATTATAATAAGAATAATAACCTTAGTTTGAAGCTAAGATGTAATTATTTTGACCAAGACATATCGTACTAACCAACGGATGAAAGCATCGTTATGTCACCTACTTACTGCAGACAATAATCCTTTTTGTTTTGAGGAAAATTTTATTTTGTGTCTCATACAACTGACACTAGTTTTATGAGACAATTTTTTTGTCTCACAGTTTTGTGGACCCATATTTCTATGAACCCAGAAGTGTAAGATTGGGGTCCACAAATTTGTGAGATAAAAAGGAATTTCATACAACTAGTGTTAGTTATATGAGGCACAAAATAAAACTTCTCGCTTTTTGAAAACTCAAACTTGTGTTTTTCATTTATGAAAAAAATTTCTTTTCAAGAAAAAGTGGGTAGTTTGCTAGCAACTAAAATGTTTGATCCAAATCAGTCATGATTATATAGCTTGCTTTGCGAGAATTTAATCAAGTAAAATTTATATTCAATTAACATGTGGAAAATATAAGATGTTTCATTAGATCTAGAGTTGCCTATTCATACGTATATAATATCTTGATTCACATTAGTAGTGGTAAAATGGATAAAAATAATAATTATTCATCCATAATCCATTAAAAATGGGTTAAATAATAAAATTTTTAAAAACAAGTCAAATATAGATAAGATCCCTATTATCCACTTAACTAATGGATAATCAATGTGTTTAACTTTTATATTTGTATTGGAGATTCCTAAAAATTAGGAGATTATAGGAACTCTCCCAAAAGTGATCATATTCAAGAAGTCATAAATAATATAAATATCCATGTATTTCATCAGATAACACATTTTCTATCCATTTAAATATAGACCGGGTTGAATATTTTATCCGTTTTTGTCTTACCCATTTTCCGCCCGCTCATTTCCAGCTTGAACCGCCCATTTTCTATCCATAATTCACAATAAATAACCCTTTTATTGATGAACTAGAAATATCCTCTTAATTCCAAGAAAATTTGAAGTAAATAATATAACTTTTTACTACCGAGTACCAAGTACCAACAAAGCAACAAAGGAAGGTGAAAAAGAAAATAACTTCATTTGATTATTTATGTAGTAAGTAAATTCATTCACGGCTACTTGTGAAGTAACAATATCACCAGAGCGGTCAATATGGGCCGGGCTAGTCCAGCCCAGCCTACGTGAGCTTTAGTAATTGACGGGTTGGGCTAGGCTAGCCCACCATTTTGATGGGCCTTATAATGGTCAGCCCGCTCCAACCCTATGTGGGTCGCAGGCCCCTTACGGGTCGGCACATCATTTTTAAAAATATAATTTTATATTTTTTCTTTAAGTTTTGACCTAAAAAAAGATAATTATTTAAAAGTTAAAAATATGTTATTGGAAAAAATTCACAAAACTTAATAACCTTTTATATTGTTCCAATATATCACAATAAACACTAAAAAAGTAAAAGACAAGGCTGTATTTCATTCACTAAAAGTCAAAACTCAAAACAAACTATTCAAGAGAATGTTCATGATGCTTATGAGATATCCAACACATCATCTTCATCAAACACATTTGAATCCGCTTGTGACAAGGTTGTCTTAACATCTTCACTTTCATCTACATCGACAATTCATATGCAAAATTAATTAGTTAAATATTAAGAATAATTAAATTTTAAAAATCAATAATATTTAAATTCACATAAAAAAAATATTACCAGTTTGAGTTTGGAAAATATTGTGCAGCCAATTTCAAGTAGTAACAAGTGTTAGGATATTTTCATAATAAATGCAACTTCTATACTTTGTAAGAACACGCCACCTATACTAAATATTGATTCCGATGCTACAATGATAATAAGTGTTAAAAAGAAAAAGCCCCATCATACTTCTGATTTTCATGGTGGTTCATCTATAGATAGAGAAGAATATGAGATGAAGAAGAAGCAGGCCTAACAGAGATGGTTTCAGACCAAAGTTTTCGATATAACCTAAGTCAATAGGTTATATTTGGTCGACTTTGGATAGACACGTGGAGAAGGCAAGGCCTTTGGATCAAACAAGCTAAATTCATGATTAGTTATATAAAGACCACCTGATAGTAATAGTACTAGAAGCTTCCATCACGTGAATGTCATATGAGGGAATATAAGTTAGTTATCAGTGGGCAAGTTAGAATATGACAAGTGTACAAATTTTTCTTTTTGTGCTCATTCTTTTATTCCTTAGCAAGTGTATATCTACATGTACATGAAAGTGATAATACATAGAGATATTTTCAGAATTCATTCTTCAAATTCGTTCATGGTATCAGAGCACCTAGCTCGATCCAACAGTTCAATTATCTAGACTATTTACATCATCTCATCTTCTACATCAACTCATCTTCACCAATCTAAAATGGGTGACACAGCCAAAACTGCAGATACCAGCAACGCTGCAAAAGCTGTGAGTTATGATATCAATCACCCATTTTATCTCAACAATTCTGATTCTCCTGGGATGACTCTAGTCAACACCTTGTTTGATGGAAAAGGATATCCAGGATAGAGGAGGTCCATTTTGTTGTCTCTATCAGCTAAGAAGAAACTTGGGTTTATCAATGGAGCATGCAAATCTCCAGATCTGAGTTCCCCAGATCAAGAACAATGGAGCTGTGTCAATGACATGGTGATTTCCTGGATTCTAAATGCCCTTTCTAAGGATATCACAGATAGTGTGATACACTCCAAAACTGCGAAGGAGCTTTGGGATAGCTTGGAGCAGAGATTTGAAAAATCAAATGGAGCCAAGCTATATCATTTGCAAAAAGAGATGTCGGGATCAGTGCAAGGAAATAGTGATATTGCAGGATACTTCACTAAACTCAAACGATTGTGGGATGAATTGGATGCTTTAAATGTTGTCATATGTTGTTCTTGTGTCTGTACTTGCGAAAGAAAAGCCAAATTAACAAAGTCACTTGAAGATCAGAGGTTGATTCAATTCCTAATGGGATTGAATGACATCTATGCACAAGCAAGAGGAAACATACTCATGATGAATGCTTTGCCTAGCATAGATGTTGCATATTTTCTTTTCTTGCAAGATGAAAATCAAAGAGAGGTTTATGCAAACGCACATTTCAACTCAGATTCATTGTCATTTATGGCAGCAGGAGAAGTGAAACAACCTAATGCACAACTTTTAGCTGATTTTGCAGCTTTTATGGTGACAGGGCAGGGGAGAAACTTTCAGAAAAACAGGAACCAAGCACAAAGAACAGCAACAATGGGAACAAAATATAATAATTCAGGACAGAAGTTCACCAAACCACAGCAGAAGTTTAAGGCAAAGAAGAGGTACAATCCAAATGTGTCTTGTACTTTTGTGAAAAAACAGAGCATACTCAAGAAGATTGCTACAGAATCATTGGATTTCTAGATGATTTTGAGTTTACCAATCAAAAGAACTATCAAAATCAGATCAAGACAAATGCAGTTCTGACACATGAAGATAATGAAAATCAGACAGGACAGAATACTGAAAACAACAACAATTTTGGGCAACAACTTAACAAGGAACAACTTGCAGAAATGGTAAGCATGTATAAGCAGGCAAAGTTGGCACAAGCAGGAAATTCAGGAATCAATGCTAATGCAGTTGCTGGTACTATTCTAAAATACTCAGGTTCAGTGTTTACCACTCTAAATTCTGACACCTGGATCATTGATTCAGGTGCTTTAGAGCATATGTGTTTTGATCCCAATTCTTTCTTATTTCTAACTCAACTTCATGTTCCTTTGAACATCAATTTACCTAATTCCTTCAAGGTAATTGTTACTCATATAGGAAGTGTTTCTATCCTACCAGGTCATGTCTTAAACAATGTCTTACATGTTCCATATTTCAAATACAACCTATTGTCAGTACATAGGTTTTGCATTTAGTTCAAATATGATGTCTTATTCACATATATTAGGTGTGTATTGCAGGTCCTTTCAATGAAGAGTCCACAAGCTTTTGGTGAAGTTAGAGAGGGACTCTACATATTGGAACCTAGTAATCTTAAGTTTAAGGGTATATTCAGTAGTAATGTATCTTCAATTCAAAAAGGAAGAAATTTTATTTCAGAGTCTATGTCTTTTTCTAGTCCTGTTCATGTTAATGCTATTCCTGATGTTAAACTTTGGCATGTAAGGTTGGGACATCCCCCATTTTTAGAAATGAAATATTTAGATTTTCTTTATTGTGACTCAAACTCTGATTTTATTTGTGATGTTTGTCCTAAGTCTAGGTAGACAAAGAAACCTTTCCCTGTCAGCACCATTAAATCTAGAAATGTTTTTGATCTCATACATATAGATACATCGGGACCTTACAAGTCTAATACCTATAATGGGTTCAGATATTTTCTTACTATAGTAGATGACTATAGTAGAGGAACATGGGCATTTTTGTTGTCTTCTAAGAGCAATGCATTTTCCATGCTTAAATCTTTCTTGTCCATGGTTGCAAGACAGTTCAATGCAAATGTGAAAATGATAAGGTCTGATAATGCTCTAGAATTGGGGAAAGGGACACAAGAAGCAACTTTTCTTGCTTCAGAAGGAATTGTGCACCAGGTGTCTTGTGTAGCAACACCTCAACAAAATGGAATTGTTGAGAGGAAACATAGACATATCTTAGAAATTGCTAGAGGTCTAATATTTCAATCCAGGCTGCCTATGTCATATTGGGGTGAATCTATTCTGATTGCCACACACATTATTAATAGGTTGCCTTCTAATGTTCTTCAAGGAAAGACACCATATGAGGTCCTATTTCATCACAAACCCAAGTATGACTATTTGAGGAATTTTGGATGTCTATGCTATGCCTCTACTTTGAAATAGGGAAGAGGGAAGTTTGATGAGAGGGCAACAACTTGTGTTTTACTTGGTTACCCTCTTCAACAAAAAGGATACAAACTTCTGGAGCTGTCCACAAGAAAAGTATTTGTGTCTAGGGATGTGGAATTTCATGAGTCACATTTTCCCTTTACAGAAACAAACACAGCACACCATCCTATTTTTCCAACTTCAATTTTCACCACATAACCTACCTATTCAACCACATTCCAAGATGAAACACAACCTACTTCTTCAGAATATGATGCAGTAGATATTTTTTACCACAATCATCAAGTCCCCCTCACATTTCTCATCACCATTCAGCTTCTCCACAATCACCAACTCTAGTCTCTCCTAGCCTAGAGTCCTCACACACCAGGACACTTTCTTCTGCACCTAAATAACATATGCCATTGAGGAGATCAGGAAGAGTTTCTACACAACCAATCTACCTGAAAGACTTTGTGTGTAACAGCATCATGTTCACGGATTTAGCCACAACCTGTTTTGCTCAACCCTGTCAACCTACTGAGTACTGTTTTTCATCTCTCTCACCTAATAACCAACATGTAATGCAATCCCTTTATACCCTAACAGAACCTTCTACTTTTAGTCAGGCTTGTCAACATCCAGGATGGATAAAAGCTATGAATGCAGAAATTAAAGCTCTAGAAGACAACCACACGTGGGATGTGGTTGAATTACCTAAAAGGAAAAGAGCTTTACCTTGTAAATGGGTGTACAAGGTAAAGCACTTATCAGATGGCAGAGTTGAAAGGTTGAAGGCAAAGTTGGTGGTCAGGGGGATATTCAAAGAGAAGGAATAGATTACAGTGAGACTTTTTCACCAGTGGTGAAGATGACAACTATAAGGTGTCTGCTCACTGTTGCAGCCAAGAAAGATTGGAATGTTTCTCAGCTAGATGTGAACAATGCATTCTTGCATAGAGATTTGCAAAAAGAGGTATATATGAGATTTCCAGCAGGTTTGGATCCTCCTAGTCCTAAACATGTTTGTCTTTTGAAGAAGTCATAAAGCAAGCATCTAGGTAGTGGTATGCTAGGCTTAGCAAGAGCTCTAAGCTTTAAAGGATATTCTTCATAAATTATGACTATTCTTTGTTCTTTAAACGCACAGGAGGCTTTATCTCTATCTTAGCTGTCTATGACGACATATTAATCACAGGAGATCACTTAGCAGAAATTCAAAGCATCAAAGATTTTTTGAATACTAAGTTTAAAGTCAAGAATTTGGGAAGTATAAACTACTTTCTAGGTATGGTAATTTTGAGAGAACAAGCAGGATTTATTGTGAGTCAAAGGAAATTCACCTTAGACATGTTGCAGGAATTTGATGTGTCTCATTTGCCTCTAGTCAGTTCTCTTTTGGATCTTGCCCTCAAGCTTCAGGCTGATGATGGAGAATATCTGCAAAACCCAACTATATTTCGTCATCTTGTCGGAAAGCTAAATTATTTAACAAATACTAGACTAGATCTTTCTTTTGATGTACTCACCCTCAATCAATACATGCAGAAGCCATATGTGTCTCATTTCTCTGCTGCTTTACGAGTTCTTAAATACCTCAGTTCTGATCCAGTACAAGGCATTCTACTGTCAGTTGAGGCATCTTTCTCCTTGCTCGCATTCTGTGATGCTGACTGGGCTTCCTGCAAGGATTCAAGAAGGTCTGTTAGTGGTTTTTTATCACTCTAGGAGGAGCTCCCATCTCCTGGAAATCAAAGAAGCAGATCTCAATTTGTTTATCCTCTGTAGAAGCAGAATATAGGTCTATAAGAAGGGTCACTGCAGATCTTACCTAGTTGGTACAAATTCTTGAGGATCTATCTGCACTAGTCACTCTACCAATTCCTCTTCATTCTAATATTAAGGCAGCGATTCACATCGCCCGAAACCCCTTCTTTCATGAACGCACAAAACATGTCGTAATTGACTGTCATTTTGCGCATCAACAATTTCTTTCAGGGTTAATTACTCTTTCTTTCGTTCCTTCTAAAGCACAGCTTACAGACGTCTTTACGAAGCCTCTTTCTAGGGTTTCTCATCGAGAGATTTTGGGCAAGTTAGGGGTCACTACTAACTTGAGGGGGGATGTTGAGAAAAAAAAGCCCCTTCATACTTCTGATTTTCATGGTGGTTCATCTATAAATAGAGAAGAAGATGAGATGAAGAATAAGCAGACCTAACAGAGATGGTTTCAGACTAAAGTGTTCGATATAACCTAAGTCAATAGGTTATATTTGGTTGACATTGGATGGACACGTGGAGAAGCCAAGGCCTTTGGATCAAGCAAGCTAAATTCATGATTGATTAGATAAAGACCATATGATAGTAATAGTAATAGAAGCTTCCCTCACGTGAATGTCATGTGAGGGAATATAAGTTAGTTATCAGTAGGCAAGTTAGAATATGACAAGTGTATAGATTTTTCTTTTTGTGCTCATTCTTTTATTCCTTAGCAATTGTATTTATATACTGTCGTGCCCCCTTTTTTCCCTTTTGACGGGGAAGTATGGGTTTCGACATTCATGGCGGAACAACTCATTTCCTTTTGGGAATTGGGTATCTTGAAGAGTCGCCACATAACGGATTAAGGTGCGTTAGGGCACCAAGAGCAATTAACTCATATAACTAGTTTGCATCACCAGAGATTAAGGTAAGGGCTCGAAATAACCTTGAGGGGAAGGTGTTAGGCACCTCTCGCGGTCCACAACGGTGGGTCCCGGCCGGACTTAAACTATGTGAATTAGTCATTTTACAAGTAAACAATTTCAACACATATTCGCAAATAAAGACATGTTTTCACATTCTAAACACATGTATGATTCAGGTAATGGAANGGAATTGGGAAAGAGGAGTCCTAGGTTGGTTAGCCTACATGATCACACCCATGCAATGACCGGTAATCACTCCTCAACGAGGGGCTACACATGACATTAGCGCGCAGTCATCATATCCTTACTACCCAATTCCCTCCCCTTGGTCATATCTTAAAGCGATCTAGCAACCTTAAAAGATATCCTATGCGTGCACTACCCGACCCTTCCTTGTGGCCCTGAGGTATTTAGGACCTCTAATTTGGGTAGTTCTAGACTATCCTAAGGTACTTAAAGGAGAAAAATCTAGGCGACAACCAAAACAATTAGGACTGGACCAAAGATGGAACAATTAAAGGCTCAAGTTTTACCTCCACAAAAAGAGCAAGCAAGTGCACGTCTTAAACACAGTTTCAGGTATTTAAGAGAAGCCCTAGAACATGATATCTATGTGAGCAGAGAATATGCAGTATTAAGTTTGGGCCAAAGTGTCAAAGACCTATTCAGTTTGCCTACTGATTTTAGATCTATTGAATATGAGCAGTTACAAATAACAAAGCATAGCTTTACAATTTGCAGGATTTTTAATCGCCCTATAGGCTTGCCTAGGCGTGTAGTAGTGATGTCCTATGAGCATGGTATCTAATCATTAATCAGGAATGCAGTAAACAATTTCAAAGCGGGAAATTTGGATCCGATAGGCATGATTTCTAGTGATATTAATTAACACAGCGTTGAAGACTATTAAAGAAATGAGTAGGTTAGTTAATCAAACTGATTCAAAATTTACAGGCATGAGTTATAATTATACTTATTTTTTAGATCTAATTAAAACAGATTTTAGATCCTATAGGCATGATTTCTATAATTAAAGCTGATTTTAGATCCTACAGGCATGACTTCTGATTATGTATAGTAAAGCAAGCAGAATTTATTTGAACCAAAGCAAAATCCTATAGGCAGGTCGTCTAACACAGTACATGTTTGAACCAAAGAAACCCTATAGGCATGTTATTTAGAAAAACACATTTGAACCAAAAATAAAACCTATAGGCATGTTATCTAACAAAGCACATTTGAGCCAAAGTAAAACCTATAGGCATGTTATCTACCCAACTTTACCCATAGTATACAACTATCCTCCCTTTTCACTAGTCATCCCAATATCTGTTTATAATTAATTATTATAGACCAAGGATTGAATAAATTACATAAATAGAACAGAAAATAAACTATAGGGAGCCTGAAGTAGGCCCAAAGCAAATCCTGATATACCCGACCTTCAGTATTCTCAAATGCCCAAAGTTTCACAGTCAATCTCATGTCTAGGTGTGTCAGAGTTCCCTAAGGTCCTCAAAGATCCCGGGCAGTGCTTACACCCAGACCTTTCTCATATAAGGACTGATTTATGTGCAGTGTGGAAGTGCTAGCACTGGTATGCCAGAGTTCAGAGAGATCTCAGGGACCTCTAAGCAGTACATATACCAGAGGGGCAGAACTTAATAACCTAAGAATAAGCGAGAGTGCTTGGCAGATTTGAAAGAGTTTGGTAAACAGTATAAAGAAGGGACTTAGGAGTGAAAAGATTTTCTGAAAGTCAGTACCAATTTAGAGATAAAAACAGTTTGAGAAAAGTATGAAAAACAATTTTGCAATTAGAACACAAGTCACAGAACAAACAACTTTAGAAAATACTTTGGTAAACAGTTTCCACACAAGGAAAGAGGGGTTGGGGACATATAGAATACACCTTAATGGAGCATATAAACAACAGGGTACATAGAGCTCTCAAGGGGTTCTATGGAACTAATAAGTTAGTCATTGAAACATGAAGCAAAGATCACAGCAGACACATGTTGAGGGCATATAAACAACACAACTAGAATTGCACTAGAGAGACTAGATAACTTAGCAGGAGTAAGATAGAACATGGAAGGACTTAAATGGACATGCTAGGCAAGTATTAACAAGTGTAGGCATGTTAATTACACAAAAGCAAAGTTTAGGCATATTAGATAAACAGTAGTCAGGCAAATAGGCTAGTCACATGTGGAATAAGACAGTGTAAGACATATTAAATAAGATAGTAAACAAGTAAGTAAAGTGAAGACATGTTAATCACATATTTGAATAAGGCAGTATTTGGCATGCTATGTAAGCAGTAAAGAGAAGCAGGAATGAGCTCAGGTCAGATGAACTAAGGCAGTAAATAAACACATAGGTTTAGATTCTTAAATTTAATTAGAAGCATGCCAGTTAGAGAAAGAAAACACAAGATGTAAGACAAGTGTTGTGTAATTTCCAGCCTTGGCTTGCAGCCGGCTAGACTAACAAAGATCACAAGCAGCAGAGAGAGCAGAGAGCTTTTTTAGAGTGTAAAGTAGGGGTTGATGAACTAATGTTCGTGTCCTAGAAGTGAGAATAGAGGAGAGTATATAAAGTAGTTAAGAGCAAGAAGAATATGGTAAAGGAAACCAACCATTCAGCAAATAAGGAAGCCACAGAATCAATTACACACCAATTAGTGTAATTTTCTCTTAATTAAGGGTAATTACCCAACGGTAAAGGCAGAATACATTTAAGGAAAGAAAATCAAGTGAGCAATTAGGGGTAAATAGACATAAGTTTAATTAAGGAAATAATTAGTGAAGAATCAATAAAATATCACAATTAATCGAATAAGGTAAGAAAACTAATCAAGGTCATAAATAAAGGAAATAATCAAGAATCAGCACATGGTTTTTGACAGAGCCAATCAGTGAATCAGAAATTCAAATAGTACTGATTTAAGGGCGAAAATATAGGTTTTCCACAAATAGACAAGTAGGCTAAAATAGAATCTCACAAATGTACAGAAATTAGCCGAGAAATCGAATCAAAACCCTAAAAGAGATGAACTAGGGTAAAAATCACAAGACATTGAATTAGACTAAATGAGAAATCATGAAAGTCAAAGCACAGAACGAACAACGTAATAAGTAGCACGGAAAGGCTCAGAATCGAAGCAAAAACATAAGAAAATTAGGGCTTTAGCATAAGCTAGTTAGGGTTGAAACAAACTCTTCGAAATCAGTCAAAAACACGTAAAAAATAGAAGATTAAATACTTAAAGTTAACAAAATATTTTGAAGAAAAGGATTTTGAGGAAACCCTAGTTTGAGAAAAAAAAAAAGGAAAGCCACTCGTAAAATCAGAAGATTCTCATAAAAATCGGCGAAATAAGTTCAATCTATCTCAGATCTGTACAGATCTGAGAAGTTCAAAGGAATAAATTAGGGTTTCGAGGAAAGCAACATAGAGATGAAGAAGTAGGCTAAGAAATCCATAGGTTTAAGGTAAAATAGGAAGATCTTGCTCGAAATCAACCCAGAATGGCCTGAAATAGGAGAGCAAGAACCAAAGACATAAGCAGACTAACCCTGGTCCCTTGAGGACCCTAGAGACGACGATACCAGCATAGGAGAGGCCATTAGAGGCCTGGGGGTGGTGAGAAACCACAATGAATTGTAATATATAAGTGACAGTGAGGGTGAATTAGGGTTAGAGTCAGAGAGAATTTGAGAGACGGGAGAACGAAAGGGCGGCAGAAATGAGAGCTAATGAGAGGGTTTAGTGGGTCGTTTGAGTTAATATAGTAAGTTTAATCGTGGACCGTTGATCAAAATTATCAACGGCCACGATTAAACATGGCTACTGGGTTGGGGCATGCAGATTGGGCCTAGGGGAGCTTTGGGCTACTTAAATAAGGGTATTTGGGCTGGTCAATTAGGCTGAAATTGAAATTAAACAAGGCTATTTGTTAAATACTCCAAATAAATTGACTAAAATAATTTGTAAAATAATTACTAATTACAAAAAATGATTTTCATGCATAGGAAT